CATAGACTCAAACAAACAAACACACCTAAACATAAAAACAACTAAGAAATCAAGCCCTCCCTCAGTCGAACACCCCAACTGAACGAGAGGACAATAGATGACTCCGAGAATAGATCCGGGACACAAGAACCACGCCCGCCACTGCTGCCGAACGCCTAGCAAAGGCGAAGACTCACACCCCGAGTCAATCCAAGAACCGACCCGGTCTCCAGCCAAAAGGAAATCGACTCCTCCCAGACCCACCACCATCCCGAAATGGCCTAACACCACTAGCCCACTCCGGCGACAATGATCCCCCCAGACTCAGCACCAGAGAATAGGGGATAAGGGAACAAGAATCGACCTCCAAGCCCCGGCCAGTCCGCCACCGCCATCGCTAGTTCGAGCACCGAGCACCCCTCCCAGCCCCTGAAAACGAACCCCAGTCCACCACTGCCACACCAGAGAGCCAGCGAGCCGAGAACCGGAATCGACCGCTGCCAACCCACAGTAGTAGAAACGGGTCGTCGGCAGAAATTGAAAGGATTACTCACCCGAAAAAAAGAGGACGCAAGCAACCTGGGTCTGAGCCGCGTCCAGCCACCTTCGCCACGCTCCACCCAGCCTCGCCACACAGGGGCTCCGGCGACCTTCAAGCACGACTCGAAGAGTTCCGTCAAAAACCGCCATCCTCAACCACCGGCGCGTGAGACGAAGGAAGAGAGCTCCCGAACAATAGCGTGGACGTGCGGCGGAGAGCTGTCCACCGTCAGCCGATTGCCCGCTGGGAGAGGCGCAGATCGCCGGCAAAGATTAGGTCACGATGCTTTGTCTTTTGGCTTTGATAGATTTTAATTTACTTCTAAACAAAAAATAATTAGACTTGGAATTATCCATAAATATATTGGATATTTATGACCCTTTTTATTACAATTAATTGTGCTTTAATATCATTTCTTAGTATGTACATGGTTTAAAAGGTATGAATTTTTTCCCTCAATATATTTTTCTCCCAGTTACTTTTTTTTAAAAAAATTATAATACACTTTGCTAAGTTAAATTGTAAATATATATTAAAAGATAACTTTTGTATTTATTATTACTTTTCATATACAATGTAACAAATCAATCATCTTTGATTATCTTTGATTTGACATGCTATTGTATATACAAATAAATAAAATAACTATATTTACCTTCACATATAAAAATTAAATTATATATTAATTTTAATTGGAAAAAATAAAATTATTTATCAATTATAGTTTAATCACAAAGTAGTTATATGATAAAAAGTTACATGAGTAAGTCATTTATGCGACGAGTATCGTTTTAAATAAAAATAATCTTATATTTTTCAAAAATGTATTTAAAATTTAAAATATTTTTTCATTACTTTATAAATTTAAATATAAATTTCTTAATACATACTCGTGTAATTGTATTGTACTAGTATTATACGAAGTAATAAGTAGTTAAACTTGTGTTAGTGAATGGATGATGAATTAAAATACAAAATAATTAATTGATGTTATTTAATTATTTTCATAAAAAGTATGAACGTTCGGTTGAAATAAATTCTCAGTTCAATGATTACATATGAAATGACTTAACCGATTACAATCGATTAAGTTGGACAATAAACCATATCCAATCACCCGTTGGTGACTCAATGAGTCGAATCACCGATAAACCAAGTCTAACCCTGACCTCATTGACACAAGGCTACTATCCAAGTTAATTTTAAATTTATTATATTTGTGGGTGAGTGTAATAGTTTCATTTGGATTGTACATTTTAATAATGCTATAATTAAAAAAATAATGGAAGTTCGATTTTTGTAATATTATCACAAAAGAATTAAGGCATGATCTCAAAAAATGGAATGAACGAAGCGAAACGAAATGAAGTAATAAAGAAAGGTACAAACGAAGATGGTGTGACACAATTGAATATTTTTCTCCTTATTTAAAGGTACATTTATTTAAAAAATTTAGTAATTATGTTTTTAAAATTTGGTGATAAAAATCTCTTTATCTACTTTGTGATTATCACATTAATTAAATGCTACTATTTATATTAAAAATATGTATATTTATATATATAATACAACTAATTTTGACTAGAAGATATAGTTAATACAGTAAATTGTTTGTATTTAACTCCATTTTTTTATCAATACTTAATTGTATGAAGATAATCAATATATTGATTAAAATTATATCGAATAATATTATTTTATATGGGTAACTTATAACACTCTAGTTTTGATTAGATACATAATTTTTGTTTGAATATTTATCTCGCTAAAATTAAAAAAAAAAATGTTTATAAAAAAGTAATATTCGTTTAATTTATTCTTATTTTTATAGGTCGTACTAATACAATTCAAAACTATTATTACTATTATTATTGTTATCAAAATTAGTTGAAATATTATTTTTTGTCGTCTACAATATCATTTTTTTTCTTTTTGCTATTTTTGCATTTCACTCTATAACAAAAAAAATGAAAATATTTATATTAATCCAATCGCAGAATCACCTCAGCTAGTTCGAACTTCGGGGGTGTATTCGTTTGAGATTTCAAGTGATATTTAGACTTTTTGAGATTTGAGATTTTTTAAGATTTTTGGATTTTCGAGGAATCTGGTGAAATCTTAAGGAGGGTGTATTCAATTGGGATTTCAAATGACATTTTGAGATTTTCTAAGATATGATACTTTTCAAGATTTTTTGATTTTGGAAGAATTATGTGAAACTTAAAGTCTAGAGGTGAGATTTCGTAGAAGGATTTTTCTTTAGAAATCCCATCAAATATTAAAAAGTCTTAACAAATATTGGTTTCAAATAAGTTAAATATCTCAAAATTTCATAAGACTTTTTAAAATTTCAATTGAATAACCCAAGACTTTTAAAAATCTTAACAAGTCTTAACAAATCTAAATTGAATACAACATAATTTCTAAAGTCTTAAAAATCTTTAAAAAAAAATTAGAAATCTCAATTGAATACACCCAGTCTGAAAGTGGGATTTAGAATGTGATTTCTTATATGTTCCTTCCCAACAAATTTTAAAAAGTCTTAACAAATCTTAGTCTCAAATAAGTTAAATACCTTTTGTAGAACTTTTTAAAATACCAAATGAATATCTCAAGACTTTTAAAATAAGTTAAGAGTGTGCTTGTTTATCAATTATTCCATATTCATACTCAATTCATACTCAAAATATAACTCAACTCTAACTCAATACACTATCATCAATATTATCAATGTAATTAATAATATCATTCCATCATCTTTGCAAATCAGATCAACTTTAATTTACTATTCATCCACTCACATAATTTTAACTGGATATTACTTCTCTTATACGTTTACATCAAATCAACTTAATCATTTTATTCTAAATATTATTTTAATACAAACTTAAACTTTCACTAACAACTAACTATACAAACTTTTTAAAATTAACCATAGTTAACCCAAAAAACCAATAAAAATATGATATATTGGTAAACAAGCATGCCTAAGGGTGTTTGTATACGAATATATTTGTTGAAATGAGTTTTTTTAGTTAATCATAGTTAATTTTGAAAAAGATGGTATGACTAGTTGTTAGTGAGATTTTAAGTTTACATTAAAATTATATTTAAAAATAAAAAATTAAAGTTGATTTGATATAAAATGTGAGTGAATGAATAGTGAATTAAAGTTAATATAATTGTGATGATATTATTTAATTATATGATAATATTAAAGATAATGTGGTAGAACTAAAGTTGAGCATGACTTTTTGGCTCACGCGGTCTCGAGCCCTTGCGTTCTTCAAGTTGGGATGTGCTCTCGTACGGGAGCAAAATTATGAGGGTTATTTCACGGTCTTAGACCAACTCCAATGCTGCGTTGGAGTAGAGTATTACGCTAGAGTTGTGGTAATATTGGGCTCCAACGCAGTGCCACATCTTGACGTTATTTCAGATAAATCTACAGTGCAGCGCCAGATGTGTGGCTACACTATTCACCTAACACTACATTTTTGTTCTCTTTTTTTTTTTTTTTTTTTTTTTTCTTGATATCTATATATATTGTTTGTATGTTCTTTGCAAACATTATAAAAATATTTGTGGAATATAATTTTGTAAATAAAATAATCATGATATATATATTGTTGTATAGTTGTATACTATTGTAATATATTAATATGTGATAAATAGTTTGACAAATAATAGGACTATAAATAATTTTTTGTTTTTTTATGCTCTAAACCGTATATGGTCTAGTGTGTAAATTTGCACTAATTTATATATGGTCAAAACCATATATGGTCTAGTGTGTAAATTTGCACTAATTCATATATTTTCAAAAGTAACAGTTTTGATTCATTGGTACATAGATGTATATGTATCTTCTTTAAGAAATTCAATTTATTACAATTATTTTTTAAATGTGAAGATATGGTCTAAACCATATATGGTCTAGTGTGTAAATTTGCACTAATTCATATATGGTCTAAACCATATATGGTCTAGTGTGTAAACTATAATTTTTTTTTTTATTTACTATTTGGGTAATAAACATTTATATAATATTATATATTCATATATATAGCAAATTATTCGAAATAAAAATAAATAAAATATATTTTTATTATTTGAGTAATTAATATTTTATATAAGATTAAATATACATATATACCAATTTATTTGAAATAAAAAATGAATAAAAAAATAATATATTTAATGTAGAATAAAATGTAGAGATAAGGGCTGGAGATGAATGTTCAACTCTACTCTAGAGTAAAGTAAAGTCCGCGCTAGAGTAGAGATAAGGGCTGGAGATGGATGGCTTGAGATCTAAGATATCGTTGGGTTGAAGCCGAGAGTGGACAATGCCAATATTGCGAATAATACAAAAAATTTAAGGGGTGTTCACTTTCGACGGTTCTCGAGATACGAGAACTACTCGACGGGTTAAGATTTAGCTTCGGCGAATTTTGGGGCTGACTTTTTGGCGTCTTAGGCGACCTCGAGCTCTTTCGATCTCCAACTTCTTTTAGCTCCACCATCCGGTGCACTGGCGGAGAATGACCCTTATCTAAAGAGGAAAATGGCGGTTCTGCAATTGGAGGTCGGCACGCGTGTTAATTGGCGATGGCGGGAAGGATAATACCACCCCGTCAAGGTTATCGAACTCCGGAAGCTTTCTGCCGATGGAACAAACGATTATGAGTACTACGTTCACTACACAGAATGTGATAGTTCGTGTTTTATTCGTTTTGTGTACATGTGGGGTTCAGGCTTAGGGTTAATTTGATGAGAGTTATATCAATGAATTACAATAGTAATTAGGAATTACTTGGATCTTTGTTTATGATTGAAGATATTTTTCTGCTCGCCGGTGTTTGCGTCCATCTATGTACTGGGCTTTTGCCATCTAGCTTGACGAGCATTTACGCAACTGTGAAATGACTCGTTTCATCAGCTTTTTATCTTAAATATTGTGGTGTTTGTCCTTCCTATTTCTTTGTTATGGTTCATGAAGTACTTACTAAAATGTGAACATTTGAGTGATGGAATGTTTTGCTGATGTTTTTGAATGATAATAATTGCTCTGACTGTGAAAATTGATACCATTGTTGTACATGTGCTTATTTCGTTGGGACAGTTAACCGTAGACTTGATGAATGGGTTAAACTGGAACAACTTGATCTCAACTCTGTAGAAACGGATGTGGACGAGAAGGTTGAGGACAAGGTAAAATTTTCGTCACTTCCTGCTATCACATATATATGATATTCTTCATTTCTGCAAATCTAATTTGTCATTTGGTTGTTAAAGAGATTTCCATTTGAAAAAAAAAAAAAATCATGTTTGCCACCTCATGCCTTGCCCTTCATATGACATGATAACATTCACAATTTCAGGCAACTAGCTTGAAAATGACACGGCATCAGAAGCGTAAGATTGACGAGACACATGTGGAGGTAATCCTTGTTGAGTTTGTTTGTCAATCAACAAAAAGTTGATTGAATATCTGTTGTATCAAGTGTGTCATTGTTGTTGCCACTTGACAGCCATGGCAACATTGATAGAACTGGAATCACAGGATCTTGTATGTAAAATTGTTGAAATAATTTAAGTATTTTCTCTTCAAATGGCTCATCAAAGTTTTTTTTGGATGCTTAAAGGGTGGTGTTTTGAATTATTCAGGGTCATGAAGAGCTTGATGCTGCTAGCTTGCGAGAACACGAAGAGTTTACGAAAGTGAAAAATATTGCCACAATAGAGCTTGGTAGATTTGAGATTGTGACTTGGTATTTTTCGCCCTTTCCTCCAGAATACAATGACTGTACCAAGCTGTTCTTCTGTGAATTTTGTCTGAGCTTCATGAAGCGCAAAGAGCAACACCAGAGGCACATGGTGAGATCCTCTCTTTGTTCCTTTCATCTGTTTCCTTACACTGTGTGGTCCTTTAATGGACTTTTGGTTCTATTAAAAAGTTTATTTGCTACATATATGAATCAGTGTATGTACGGTTTACTGCAGCGATGTCACTCTAGTTTAATAAATCATTGCAAGCTATTTATTTCTCTGATTAATAGTTTAATTTGGTGTTTGTCTCCTATTCTTTTATATAAATTGCTTGCAATGCCTGGTGGTTAAAGTACTACTTTTGTTATCTGTAGAGGAAATGTGATCTCAAGCATCCCCCTGGTGATGAGATATACCGAAATGGAACCTTGTCAATGTTTGAGGTAAAGTTTTGCATTAAGTTGATTCACCAAATACTTGTCTGAATATTTATTTTCCATTCGTAGTTTGTGAAAGTTTGTCTGGTTGCCATTTGATTCGGATGCCCAATGTTCTGGAGAGACATTGTCTAGTATCTGATAAAGTGTCATCTAAAATATGAAATTTATGTACAGGTTGATGGGAAAAAGAATAAGGTTTATGGGCAAAATCTTTCTTACCTGGCCAAGTTGTTTCTTGATCACAAGACCCTGTACTATGATGTTGATCTATTTCTGTTCTATCTGCTGTGTGAATGTGATGATCGAGGATGCCACATGGTTGGCTACTTCTCAAAGGTAACTATTATCATTCTTGGTTGTATCTTTTGTTGCCTATTGGTATTTATGGTCCCTAAGTTCAAGAAAAGAATTAAATTCTGAGGACAAATGCCATTAGGTGGTATTGCCTTATCCGAGCTTCCCCAACTGCAAGCGACGAAATCCTCCACCTGCAGCAACACACGGAGACCAACAAAGGCGCCTGTGGCCTCTCCCTACCCGTACGGATCGAGGGGGAACTCCTCCTAAAGGAGGCGACGACGGACGAAGGCGGCGGCGGCGGTCTCAAGGTCGGAGTTCCAAAATAATGGTTGGGGGGCTCAATTGAAATCTGATNNATTAGGGTTTTTTCACCCTTTTGAGGAGAGAGAAAAAAAATAAGAGATGGTGTTGGTGTTCAACTCAAATGACGGGAGCATAATGGGAAGTTTGACAAATATCTAACGGTGTTATCCTGCAATGTTATCCTTTTAAAGAAAATACTTCATACCAAGAATTGCTTAACAAGTCCAAACAATCTTGCAGCTTATGAGCTACAGAGGATACTGGAAACGGGTTCTCCTAGACATTTTGAAGAAACACAAGGGCAATATATCAATTAAGGTTCTTGTTGAACAAGTAGTTTCAAATTTTTAAAAGATCTTTTGATCCAAAACTTTCACTTCGACAAAGTCAGATTTATGACATCGGTATTCTCCTCTGTATCAGTGTGTGCATATTGGGCATGCGAATGCGATGAATATACTTCTTCGAAACTCTCGACATAAATCAAAAAGCGTTTTTGTCAAGAAATCCATCATTTTATATGCTTTTAACTGCAAAGGACTTTTCTTCGACTCCTTTTATCTCATTCTTTACAAATTGCTCTCTCCAGGAGTTGAGTGACATGACAGCCATTAAGGCCGCGGGCCGTGGGGGACTTGAAGTTGACGTCAGTAAATTAATTTGGACTCTTTACAAAGAGCAGACCTAATTCTTTAGTCTGAATGTGGACTCTCTCTAATCCAAATATTCATTCAGTCACGTGAATTTAATGGTCTGTACATAGATCTGACCCTGTATTTTCTTATGAAAATGTAAAATAGCTTTGTATCAGTGTAATATAGCTGTGTAGGAGTTGTCCGCATGCTTGTTGAATGAATTATATTTGCGTTCCCTATATTTTGGATCTGAGCAGTGTTTGATATTGTGGATTTTTGGCGGGAATTAGTAATATGGTTTTAGTGTTAACATGAACTAATGATACCGAGCAATGATGAACTGAGTTGGGTTTACTGAAAGTGGTTTTGACCAAATTATGGTTATCATGAAATTGGATGGCTCCCAAAAAATACTTTTCTACACAATTTTGAGAATGACTTATCAACAATCAGCATGATTGACGATGATGATGTTGCTTACTGCAAATTAAAATTGGAAGGGTTTTTGAAAATACTTTATTTCTTCTCTCCCCAACAAGTAAATAAATCTAAATATATGCTCACCAATATATGGTGGAAGTAAAATCAACACAAAACCGTGGCATGTTCAAACACCCGTGTAAATATGTCCCAAACACAATTAATGATGGAGGGAATACAGCTCATCTTTATTAATTGGCGTAAATCTTGATGCATTGTACTGTTCGTTTATA